GTGATCATTATCTGATGTACCAAATTACAACTGCTATTGGAACCCAAACAGCATCATAACAGGAGAATATTGTGAACGATGTCGGCCTGTCTGTCTTAGTCGCTCTCACACACTCTCCTTGATTCAGTTTTTGATTGGTGTATTTGTTATATCAGGAACCTTAACATTCAGCAGAATAGTACTAACATTAATTGTGTCTGATTTAATTGGAAAGTCAAAACAGGTATATATAAATCTATGCAGTGCAATAGGAGGGAGGACTATAGTGTCTGTATCATTGTAGGGCTCTGGCTGGTTATTTGGTTTAATGATGGGAGCTGGGGGATTGTCTCAAAGCACAGGACCTCTCTGGAGTAAAAACAGATAAATATCAAAATAGAATCAATTTTCTTTGTTTTTGTGTAGCTTATGAATTGTATTTACTGGTTGGTAACAGGACGTGGTTAGTATCAACAGTTTTATCATTTATGCAGTTCATTTTAATAATATTATTTATTATATTTTTTAAACAATTCAAACCAAAGAAAGAAGTAAGCTCTATTTCTAATATTATTATTATTCTATGCTTACTTTTCTAATCAGCCAAATAATAACACAATGAATGAAGAAACTGTCAAAGAAGAGGATAGAAAAGAGTTGCTGCAGTTTGAAGAGATGAATGAAGAAATAGATGATGATAAAGAAACACGAGTTTAGCATAGTAGCAATATTATAGTCCTGCATGTACAAACTTAGGTTTGCAATTTTTTAGTCATAATTACGTGTAGTTTGAGAATTGCATACACACACTATTCATATTCATCAATAATATTAAAGCCTTAAAGGGACATGATGGTTAAATTTTTTAAGTGTTTTTTGTAAAAGGACAAAAAATAACCTAAAATATGTGTGTGTGTGTGTGTGTGTGTGTGTGTGTGTGTGTGTGTGTGAGAAAGAGTTTGTGCATGCATGTATTATGAATAAGTAGTTAATACAAGGTTCAGTCTTTATTCTCATTCACATGATTGCTGTCAGAGTTCTCTTCAAGTCTCTCCTTAGACCTACTCCTGCTCCTCTTCTTCCTCTCGTGTGATCGGCTTCGGTTGCGCTTCTTCCTATCCCGTGATCTGCTCCTACTTCGCCTCTTACGATCCCTTGATCTGCTCCGGCTTCGGTTTTTCCTCTCATGTGACCTACTACGACTCCTCTTCTTCCTATCACGTGAGCGACTACGGCTATGGCTTCGATTTCTCCTCTCTTGAGACCGACTTCTACTTCGGTTTTTCCGATCACGCGAGCGGCTTCTGTTTCGTCTCCTCCGATCGCGTGACCTGCTCCTACTTCGTCTTTTCCTCTCGTGCGATCGGCTGCGACTCCGCCTCCTCCTATCCCTCGACCTATTCTGCCAACTTTGGTAGCTGTTCCTTCGTCCACGGTAGCGATCGGATTGACTGGATCTCCTCGAGTCCTCCCTAGAGTGGTCCCTCTCTTTTTCTCTGCGAGCCTCTTGCTCTTCCATTCTTTTCTTGTTCTGTTTCTCTCTTTCCACCTATCAACATTCAAAAATAGAAAAAAAGTCGTCAGATAAGAAAAAAAACATCAGGAATGACGAGGAATAAAAATTTTAGAAATTGATGTCACATTTCTTGAAGACACATTTGAAATAGTATTTTACCTCTATTTTAAATACTCTCTCTGCTTCAGGAGCATATTGGAGTAGCCTCACAGCCAAATGATGGTCAAAAACTTTCACTAACATTTTACAAACATTACAGGCTTTAACTAACCTTCATGTTAAGGATTGAAATGCTACCGTACGTGCTAATGCACATACACACTCTCACAAATCCCAATAAATAGCAGAAAATGCTTAACTAACCTTTCAGCATTTGACAAAATCTGATAATACCGCTACATTAAACAATCATGAACGATTGCATTTATAAAAACACACCCACTAGTGCAGCATAAGTAATCTATGTGCTTAAGCATAACACGAATACAGCCATCCCACCTCATTGCTCTTGAAACAAGACACAGTCTGAGCTTACCTTCATTTCTGAGAGTGTGTTACGTATTCTAGCGTATCCCATGTGCTGTTTCCCCATCAGGTGTGCATCAATCCTTGCTTGAGAGTCGCCAATGATTAAGAAGCAACCGCATACGTCACAGATTTCATTCTTTTCGTGGAAATTGCCTGGATCCACTTCAAATCCAGCCACAGTTGAAGGCTAAACGATATTAATGTAATCAATTATTACTGTAGGACGCCTTTTTTCGAAGGCTGTAAATTTTGCAGATTTCGCTATTTTTTGAAGATTCACAAAAATTACTTATGCAAAAATCAAATTATTATGGTATAAGATGGCAGACGGCATAAATTCACAAAAATTAAATCTGCAAAATTGATTCTTAGGCCAATTTGTGAAATTTACAGCCCTTGAAAAAAAGGCACCCTACAGTACTTAAGTACGTGTTACTTACGATGAGTGACCAACTCATCAACTGGGCTCTCTCTCTTTCCTTCTCCTTCTCCAGCTCCTCCACTTTTGATATCAATTGCTGGGCTTCTTCAACATTACCTTGGGCCCCTAACTCCTCAGACTACAATAAATAATAATAATTATTATTATTATAATTATTATTATTAAATGAAATATCCTATTCAATTTAAAATAGTTACAAAACACTGTATAGCTAGAATCTTTCATGGCCCAAAATGTTCATGAATTTCATGATTCATTCAAAATTCATGAAAATAAATCCGCAAAAATTGATTTAATTCCAAAATGGCCAAAAGGTGAAAATTAAAACCACGAAATTAATTTTTGGGTCATGAAAATTTCTCAATATATGGTAGTTTGTACAAAAAATAATAATTTTTTTACTTTCTGGTGTGTGAGGCATAATAATAACAAACTTACCTCCTCAATCAATTCTGCTATCTTCTCTCCAAGAGTCTTCAGCTTTTCACTGTACAGCATGCTATCCTTCTTATCAAAAGCCTAAAATCCAAAGTACAAGTACATATAGCATACACTTAACAAAAATAGCAACAGATTCTCTTTCTCTCTCTCTCTCTCTCTCTCTCTCTCCCTCTCTCTCTCCCTCTCTCCCTCCCTCTCTCCCTCCCTCTCTCCCTCCCTCTCTCCCTCCCTCTCTCCCTCCCTCTCTCCCTCCCTCTCTCCCTCCCTCCCTCCCTCTCTCCCTCCCTCCCTCTCTCCCTCCCTCTCTCTCTCTTTCCCTCCCTCTCTTTGCTCCTTTACATTAGTATTTGCATCTTCACTCCTTTGTAATCTTTCTTTTCCTCGCTGCACTCTCTTGTCAAGATCTCTGATGAGTTTCTCAAGATACTCAATAAAGCGTTCTTCATACCCTCTCTGCCATTTCTCATTACTTGCGTCATAACTAGAAAATACACAAAATTAATAATAAAAAGTATACCATATAGTGGGAAATTTGGAGGGACTAAAATTTGGCAAATTGCTAAATTTAGGTGATTGGTGAATTTTAACTTGATGAATTTTAATTTGGCAAATTTGTGGCCATGTGCCATTGAGCATGCGTATAATGGCTTAAAATGGTGGATTTTATTTTGGCAAATGGCTATCAAAAATGCCGAATTTGCCAAATTTATTTCCCTCCAAAATTTCCCGCTATACAGTAATTGTGTACTACTTACGCTTCTTTGAAATGGTCGTCATGCAATTTATCACAAATACCTATAAAATCAGAAAAGAATAAGTACGTACACCATAAATACAAAATAATGTTAATAATTAATTATTATTAATAATTAAAAATTAAGCGGCTGACATTGTTTAGAGTAATAAATATCTTACCAATATCAGATCGAGTGTTAATAAAGAGCTTCGAAGGACAAAAACCACACAAGAAATGCTTACAAACCTATCCATAAACACCAAAGTCAATTAACATAATACACCTTTTTATGATCATACCTCTGGATCAGAAAAATGTTCTTCCTTAACAGCATCATCTCCCGTCACGTTCCTGTTCCTTCCCATTAACTGATCAAGAAGGGCAGCAGCTTCAGACGCCATCCTAGCCTCAGTTTATGAAGAAGAAAAAGGAGGAAAGTCAACGGTCAACGTGTGTGTTTTGTCAGTGTCAGTGTGTCACTGAGTTTAACCCTTTACGCGCCATTTTAATGACAGGCGTGGTTTAGTTCTGATCCCCGCCCACTGTCATGGCGGAGGACATAACCTTGCCTTCTTTCTTATGTTGCGAAGTTTGCCAGATCCAGACAAATTCAGGCAAGACAGAGTACTAATATAAATATTTCTTTCTTTCATTTTACAGAAGAGCAGTTGCGTGAACACCTATTGGGACAGAAGCATTGGCAGAATGCAAGACAGAGGGATTTATCAAGAAGAAGCATTTATGTGAGAGGATTTGAGCCTAAGACCACGACAGTCAGTGATCTCACGGAGCTATTCCAGCAGTTTGGGTCTATTCAAAAAGTTGTATTGCATGAAAAGGTTAATTATTTTATTAATTTTTTTAAAAATTAATTTTTGCCAGACTCCACCCTTTTATATGCCGCCACCATAATTGTCTATGTCCAAAGTGGTTTGCTGCTTGTATAATGTGTAATTAATGATGTATAAGTTCTAATTGCATTAAAATTACAATGCTGGTTTCCAATATGAGTTGTTGCAACTGGAAATTAGTGGCAAGGTTTCCCACAAGATTCTGGCATAGTGCTGCTTGTGTGGGTTCTTGTCACTGAGTGGATTTTAAAGTTGTTCAAATATTAGTGGTACTTAGAGTGCTGGATTTTAATTGGCAAAAATTACCAGTTGATGATTCTCTATTTTTTATTATTTTTCTGATGCTAAGTATCAACTTTGAGCTGATTCCAATAAAATTTGAATTTCTTGAAAATTGGACCAACAACCAAAGGCTATAGCCTTGGGTCTAAGGCCAAATTTTGTCAAAAAAATTAAAAGACAATTCTCCATTTTTATAATTTTTTTGATACATATACATGTCCTTATGTTGTGTATCAACTTTGAGCTGACTCCGATCAAATTTGGATTTTTTATGAATTTTTTAAGCTGCTCAAAAATCAGGTTAATGTCTCTGTACTATAGTACATGGTCTGAGACCAAATTTTGCCAAAAATGAAAAGGAGAGAATTCTCCATTTAAAAAATCTTTTCTGATACCTATACATGTCCTTATGCTATGTATCAACTTTGAGCTGATTCCGATCAAATTTGGATTTTTATGAATTTTTAAAGTTGCTCCAAATGCCATGTACTGTATTGTAGTGCTTGTCAGCTCATCAAGCTCATGCTGTTTAGCTCACTTAGCATGCTTTGTGGGAAACCCTGATTAATGGTATAACATGTGTCAATGCATCAGGATAGAAAAATTTTTTATCCTGACATTTTGATTCATGTACATGTATCATTATCTCTGCAGTATTTCTAGTTGCAATTCAAGCACATAGAAAGCAATGTGTCGTATTGAGAACCCACTTTTTATCCACACACATGTACCCATAGTTCTGCCTTTAGTGGTTGGGGGCGGTGTGGACAATCACCTCAACAATTGAACAACCAGTTCATCACTTAGACCAACCATCCAATTAATACTAATAACCATACATAAAGCATGATACTGTAGTCTACTAGTATGGTGTACATAAATTTAAAGGGAATAGTATTATAGTCTCCAACCACCTCTAATTTTTTTCTTGGCAGAACCCTGTATACCATAGTAACCAACTAACCATGTCATATAATGGGAAATTTTTGGAGTGAGTAAAATTTGGCAAATTGCTAAATTCTGGTGATAGGCAGATTTTAATTTGGCAAATTTGTGGCCACGTGCCATTGAGCATGCGTATAATGGCTCAAAATGACAGATTTTTATTTTAGTGAATGGCCATCAAAATGCCAATTCCCCAAATTTAATTTCCTTCAAAATTCCTCACTATACAGTACATTATTTATAATTCCTAGGGGCACTATGCTCTCATTGAGTTTTCATCTGTCGAGAGTTGCTTGCAAGCTCTCCATCATCCCACAAGACTAATGATGAATGGAAAGAAATTGGTAGTGAAGCCGCGAGAGATGAAAGTTAAAAGACCTTCAACAAAGTCAGAATCTGACAGTAAAGAAGAGGAAATGGGATCACTGGATGCTTCAGGACAAGAATCAGTAGAGGTACATGTAGTCATGTACATAGTCATATATTTACAGAGGTTTTATTTGTTGGCATAAAATTTTGTGAATTTGGCCAGATTTTGTATTTGTTATTTTGTTGGTATAAATTTTTGCAAATCTACCTTCAGTAGCCATTTTTCCTAGTGTGCCACACCTTTTTGTGGAATTTAATTCACAAATTTAATGAAAATTCAAAATTATCAAAACTTATTTCCTTGAAATTTTGTGGCTATACGGTAATCTGGTATAATGTGTTTTTGTTATTGGTAGGGCGACGAGTATTCGAAAGTGGAGTTAAAAATAGAAAGAGAGTTAATGGAAAGAATAACATCTTTAGAAACAGTAAAGTTATCGTTAACCGAGCTCCTTTTCACTTTTTGTCTCTCTCTCTTTCACATCTCCTTTAATGTGTACTTCTCTTTATCTTTCTGTCATTTTTCCTTCTCCCCCCTCTCTCTCTCTCCCTACCCCCCCCTCTCTTTCTCTCCCCCCCTCTTTCTCCTTACCCCCTCTCTCTTTTTCCCTAGCTTGATGAACAGATAATATTATTAGCATCTACACAGCAGTCTCCTCCAAGTCTAGCTCTGGCCTATATAAAAGTTTTACAATACCTCCAGTCTGCTTTCAGTGAGGTTTTTCCTTCTTGTCGTCTTGTTCCTTTTGGCTCATTTGTCACTGGGGCAAGCCACTCTGACCTCTGATCTAGATATTGTTTTATTTACCGAATGGACAGAAAGAGATGAAGTTAATTTTGCTGATATTGTGTCTCTTTATTCTTCTCCTGGTAAGATATATGAAAGCATAATTGCAACATGTGTACATGTGTACATGTACATGTAGCTTCATAATATTATGGCCAAGGACCATGGGCTATAATAGTACATGATATTTTATTTTAAAAGGCTAGGAGAGAGTGTCTCTTTTTTATATTTTTTGATACGTATGCATCCACTTATGTTGTGTAGAAAGTTTTAATTGATTTCGATCAAAATCGGATTTTTTAATAAGTTTTCAAAGTTGCCCAAAAATCAGGTCAAGTCCCTGTGAATGTTGACCAAACTAGCCAAAAATTGTTCAGAGAGAAATTTCACTGTATTTCTGTTACATTTTTCATGATACATATGCATGTCCTTATGCTTCATAGAACATAGTAGAAGACATACTTTTTCAATTATTCTTTTTTCTTTTTTTATTCTGTAGTTGTTTCTCAGTTACAGCCAGAGAGCCCTACCATTGCCATGGACACCAGCAATGCTGCTCAAGCCAGTAGCATTCTGGAATCATTTTTGGCTAGTTCTAAGCCCACGCCAAGTACCACATCACTTATTCCATCGCATGTCAAAATCGGTGGATCTGCTGATATGAGTAGCTGGTCTAAAGAATATTTGAGTGTTATAAATGTCATTGGTTGTCTCTCTGAATGTTCTAATATATTAGCATTGCCTTCAGCAAGGTGTCCTATTGTTAGGTTTACCGTGTCCTCTTTGAATGTGTCTTGTGATGTATCAGTCAACCGAAGGTATGTTCATTATTAATTTAGGCTTGGGTCAAATGACATGTAACAGGGTTTCATATGCTGCGTTTACACTACAGAAGTGGGCCAAACTGTGCTGAACCAGGCTGAGCTGGCCCTGCTGTACTAACCATGCTGGCCTGGTTTGGCCCAGCTCACTTCAGCTCAGTTTGGTTACTGTTTACACTATCAAATGAAACTGTGCTAGCCCACTTTAAACAGGGCTGGCTCAGTTAAAGAAGCTAGTGTAAACGTATTAATAGAGAGGGGGGTAGCACTGGGATTTCCCCCCCCCACATTAGGTTCCCCCCCACAAAAAAATTCTGTATGAAAGCCTGCTCAAGGAAGCAATTAAGATAATTACAAATATACATTGTACATGTAAGCAGAAGCCAGCACAGTTTAGTGTTCCCCCCCCCACAAAAAATTTCTGTATGAAAGCCTGTGTAATGTATTGTATAATATAATGTAATGGTAATTGTAATTTTATTTACAAAAAATTGTGTTTAAATTGATGTATGTATACCCCTAATACCAAGAAAACTACAAAAATGCTTTGAAAATAACCCACTATATGGTATCAAAAAATATAATGAAAATTTATGTGCCTAAGTTCCTAACTTTTAATCGGAATCAGCTTGAAACTTTTTGATTATTTTGCATATCGTACTAAGTTAATGACATCAAATTTATGCAACTATGTTCATGTACATGTACATGCACTTGCAATTGTATGAACTCATCTTTATCCTTCCCTTCCTTTCCTTTCTCTTTGCCATATCTCTTCTCTCTCCTTCTTTTCCTGCTATGTCTGTACCTTCCTAGGCTAGGCCCTTATAATTCAAAGTTGCTCAAGGCCTACTTGAACTTTGATAAAAGAGTATCGCCTCTTCTCTATCTCTTGAAGTCTTGGCTAAGAATCTGTGGAGTGATGGGTTTTAAAAGAACACAAATAAACAATTACTCGCTCTCACTTATGCTCATTTATGCCCTCCAGAAAACATCCCCTCCTGTGTTACCATGCTTCCAGGACCCAAGAACATGGCCGCTAAATATGGAATGGTATGGCAGAGCAGGATTCATGTTAAGGAAGCACGAAGCTGAATACATCGATGGATGGAAAGTTGATTTTGTCAATCCCAACTCACTTCTTCCATCAAAAAACTCATCATCAATAGGTATACCTATAATGAATTATATCTTCTTATTTTATTTTTATCTTTCTTTTTGTAGCTGAACTAGCTCGCCATTTCTTCAATTTCTATTCAGCAGTTTTCTCTTTCTCTAACCATGCTGTCACAGTTCATACTCCCCTCCTACTCACAATACAAGATGCAGTACAGCTATCACTTCAAGATCCAACACATCAGGAGAGTATGACAGAGAGTGGAGGGATGAAGATTAGCCCTCTGTGCGTCCAAGATCCTTTTGATTTATTGCACAATGTAACCAAAGCAGTTACTCCTTCTACTCTAAATGCACTTGTAGAAGAGATGAAACAAGCTGTTCTAGTAATGGATAATCTTTTAAGTGCTTCACCTTCCTTGCATAATTTGGGTATTCTGTCACTTTTTGTTTGTCAGACCCCGACTTCTCCTTTCTCTTCTCCTGAAAAGTCCTACAAGACCACCTATCAGCTTCATTTCTCTTTAAAAATGATAGAAAAGCTAGTCAGTAAAGTCCCAGCAGCTGTTGGCTTGAGC